TAATAATTTTCACATGAATTAACAACATTGAAGTTCATCCATGAATACAAGTTAGTTTATAGTTTTATATCCTCTACTGTACACAAAAAAAATATATAACACAAAAGGAAAGAGAAAAATAACACCAAATAAATACGGCAAATGTGACGTTAAATAGTTTCATTTTAAATTCCACTCGTTGCACGAACAGTAAACATATTGAGATCGTTATATTTATTTAATCTCTATCGTTTACGTAATGCATATTAGCAGAACGCTAAATTTAGGCTAACTTCGCTCTGTGCGGTTGCTGCAACAATAAAATACGTTTTATCCGAGTACCTATTCGGACACTGTACGGCGTTTACATTTAAAAAAACGCGATAAAAAAACGTAACCCCTAAAAGCTTTGGCTGACAACGAAAAACGAAATTTCGAACTGGCCGTTATTGTATTGACGTAGCAATAAAGCCCGAGGAAATGGACGGGCACGGGGAAATTGATACGCATTTGTGTATTTTCATATTCATAAGACGCTTAGGTCCGTTTGTTAACAGCAGTCGGGCGTACTAATCGCAGGGGTCCAGATTGCTTTTTATTTTTTAAGGTTCCGTAAACAGAGGGTAAATTGAAACCCTATTACTAAGACTCCGACGTCTGTCTGTGTGTCAGTCCGTATGTCACCAGGAATTTTATGTGTCTCTGTTGCCGCTATAACAACAAATACTAAAAAGATAATAAAAAAATATTTAAGTGGAGCTCCCGTGCAAGAGACATCAGATTTTTTTTATGTTTATAGATAATGGTACGGGACCCTTCGTGTGCGAGTACGACTCACGCTTGGCCGGTTTTTCCACTTCCTACATGGAAAATCGGCGACGCCGGTATGTTCTTGGAGATTTGAAAGCGTAACGGAATATTGCAGAACAGCATCTATTCATCAGGTAATACGATAAGATTGACTAAATACGAGTAGACCTAAGTATTCAATTATTTTCTTGATCATAATTATGTTATCATAAATGTCACTTATTACAACACGTAGTAAAATTATTAATTTTGTTTATAACCTTTTAGACATTTATTAGTATAATAAAAGAAATATCAAAAAAACAAATGTAGCGAAGTAAATATGTCAAACTTCGGTTTTATATTGTAAAAAGAAATTCGTGCGCTGAGTCACTTGGACAGTATTATTAAAAAGCATCCAAATTCATATAGGCTTATACTTATACTTTTAAGAACTTGCCAATCTTTTCGCAATGGATATACGTAGGCGGGATGATAAGTAACTAGCCATTGCTATTTAAAAAGTTAAAATTAAAAAAATATATGTGTCATTTTTAAATTCGTATCTCTGGCCACCTGTGTTCTAAATTTGAATAAGGTGGCGTGAAAATTTTATTGTTTTTTTGTCATTTGAAAATATATTTCGTCAACTATTTTCAAAATGGATAAAATTGAACAGAGAGCGGTGATAAAGTTTCTTCATATGAAGGGGATGAAGGCGAAAGATATCTATGACGAGTAAAAAATGTTTTGGGTGAATGTGCTCTTTCTTATGCCACAGTAAAAAACTGGGTGGCTGAGTTTAAACGCGGTCGTACATGTGTCCAAGATGAAGCCCGCCCCGGACGTCCAAAAAGCGTTACGACTCCGGAAATGGTCGTGAAAGTACATGATATGGTTTTAGCTGATCGACGATTGAAGTTATCTGAAATAGCTGACACTACAGGTATCTCAAAAGAACGGGTACATCATATCCTAAGTGAGGAATTAAATATGAAAAAGTTATCGGCCCGTTGGGTGCCGCGAATGCTTACGCACGATCAAAAAAGGATTCGGGTGCAAAACTCAAAAGAATGTCTGGACCGTTTTCAGAGTAATAAGGCCGATTTTTTTTTACGTCGATTTGTAACAACAGATGAAACATGGGTTCATCATTACACGCCAGAATCAAAAATTCAATCAAAACAGTGGACTCAATCGGGATGCCCGGCTCCAAAAAAAGCCATGGCTGTAAAGTCGGCTGGAAAAGTGATGGCTTCCGTCTTTTGGAATGCAGATGGTATTTTGATGATAGATTACCTTGCTAAAGGTCAAACAATTAATGGTGAATACTACGCTAATCTTCTTGATAAGCTTCATCAATGTATTCAGCAAAAACGACCAGGTTTGGTGAAAAAAAAAATCATCTTCCACCAAGACAACGCTAGGGTTCACACATGTGTTAAAGCTATGGCAAAAATCAACGAATTGAAGTATGATTTGCTGCCTCACCCACCTTATTCGCCTGATCTAGCGCCATCAGACTTCCACTTATTCCCTAAGCTCAAAACTTTTTTTGGGCGGAAAGAAATTTGCCACAAATGATGAAGTCATAGCCGCCGTAGAGGAGTATTTTGCAGGCCTCGAAAGAAATCATTTTCTGGAAGGCATTACTGCTTTAGAACGAAGATGGAATAAGTGTGTAGCGGTTCACGGAGAGTATGTCGAAAAATAAAATTAATTTTATCACGGAAAGTTAAGTGTATTCTTATTAGGCTAGTTACTTATCATCCCGCCCTCGTATAAAAGATATTTTCGTATAATAGCCTCATACGAAGTATCTTTAAATACTGCAGCGTGGTCTGGCGAGCACAAAGAGTTACGCATTCATTGTACCTTGAGTGGGTAAAAAAAGGATTTTTATGTCATTTTATGTCATTAGTAGGTAAATCTTCTTCAATGTTTTAAAATACTTTCGCTTTTGGGATGGAGTAATGTTCTCGACGTAAAATTCGAAAAGAAAATCTCAAAATACGAAATTGATTATTAGCAATAATTAAATATTTTACAATTCTTATAATTCCTTCGAGAATCTCTTATAAACCTATAAAACCACTTTATAGTAACTCGCCTTACATTTTGCAAAACTGTAAACGGCTATAGTGATCAAAGTAATTAAGATTTCGAGTAGATTGTAATAAATAGTACAGTATTAATTGTAACTTTTCTTGTCATTGTTATGAGCTCGTTTTCTTGATATTTTGTTATTTTTTATATGTTTTATATAAGTAACTAGTATTACCATTCGTTGAGAAGTCTTTTTTAAGTGATTATATTATTTAATAAAACTTAACAAAGAACAGAAGATACAGAGAAAAGAACACTTACAGCCTATCTCCTGCTGAAATGGTTGCTTTCGTTATAGGTGTCGTTTCGTTTATGATCCTTTCATACTCTTCTGATATTTGAACAAATTGTACGAACGGCTAGCCTGAATATCATGCGACTAATATGGAGACAAAAATAAAAGATGGGCAGTGTTGCCATATTTCCAAATTGTAGATCGAATGAATACCTGAATATGAGCTTGAATCCCAGTGGCAGGTAACATTGTGTTTTCCTTAAGTTTTCTTCCTTATTTGTTCATCTTATAAATTAAGTATTTAGAGTATGCGTCTCGTAACTTTTGCTTTGTATAAATTGAATGAATCATTTTGTTGCCCTCTAGCCAGACAGTCCTTAAGAGTAAAGATCCGCTTTCTTATTTAAGTAAAATGTGGATTTGTCCCCAATGACCAATGTTTTATTCATGACTGGACTGGACGTCGAAATGAAATTTCATCTGAATATAACAAGAGTAATCATGAAGATAAAATAAAATGTTCCATTCATGAAGATTTTTTATTTATTTTGTTTTTAGGGACACAATCAACTTCCGCTGTTTTTCAAATGTGCTGGCTCATTTGAAGAAGTAATACAGATGATCAGCATGAACCGGAAGTATTAAACTTACTTTCGTGTTAGTTTGATGAATGCGGGTACAGGGACTACACATTTTTCATTGAAAAAAAAAACAAGTAAGAGTAAAAATATGTTTTTTTTTTGTTATCACCTTTAGTACAACTTTTCTTTAGTTTACAGTTTATTTTTATCTATTAAATAACCTTATTACAAAGCTAACGACACTTGCATTGTTTAATTCATCAATACACACAATAATTTAAATACGCACTCCAACACTCGGCATAGACAAATTTTATGTTGCAGCAAATTTCAAATCAACGACGGCACCTGATATGTGTAATTAAATTACCCCTAGAATTTATTAAAAATAAATACACGCAATAGGTACTTTATTAAATTCATTTCAATCACTCGAGAAGAGTCGTTTTTTACTACACATTTTTTATAAAACTGTAAAAATCTCTGACTGATGACTGATTGACACCCGGTTTCTGAAACACTGATCATCGTAGAAGTTAACAACTAATCAGCTGTCAAATGGCTTTTCAAATGTCATTTGAGTTGCCAAACTGTTTGAATTGATCATTCTGATCATTAATAAGATCATTTTGACCAACTCAGATCAACGATGATCAGTGATTCAGAAACCGGGCGTGAGACAATGATAATTTAGATGTGTAACACAAAGATGAAGAAAATATACAATAGTCTTAAACAAATACGTTTGCTTATATTTTTTATATCTTAACGAATTTATCGTTAAAACACGTTACAAACATCCAAGTTATAATTAAAAATTAAACAGTCGTCCTAACCCTAAATGACTTAAATACATTATTATCTTATTTATTTTTAGTGCTAGTCTTCTCCAAGCTTAAAATGAAATTTAAAATGTGCCCATAAACTGTTTATCTACACATTTCACATAGGGTTGCCACCCCTGCAATAATATACAGTAACGTACTATATTTTAGCTAATTTTAGTACATAATATAGAATAATAAAAAAATTAAATAGAACGAAATAATATTTTCATTGCAAATTTAATTGTCGCACTTTTTTATATTCACTGTAAACTAACATATCTACTGCACGGCGTGGTGAATTTCATAACAAAAATTAACGACATCATAAACGTCATAACTGTCCTAGCAACTGAACATCGAAATTATATTCTCTGTACTGATTATTATAACTTAATTATGTACTCTTTTAAAAAAAGTTGGCAACCCTAATTTCGCATTACTATCGCTACGAGATCACACGAAAGCCCTCACGGCTCTTCGTCA